TGTTTAAATAAAAAATCTTGTCATAAAGTCACATTATCCAAATTATTTGGGTGGGGATAGAAATTTTTGATTTTTTTTAGCAAAAAATTTTGAAAAAAAAACAGGATATTTTGTTTGCGAAATATAATTTTAAAATGAAAAATGTAGACTGAAAGCGTTAACCCTCAATTTAATTTTTTTTTTTTGAATTAATAGTCTTCATCTTCTCATAGTGCTCGATTTTTAACAGACTTCAAAAAAGGTTTTCAATTCGTCGGATTTTTTTTATGTATGTTCAGAGATAATTATATACTACGTTGTCCTATTTATGATTCTTTTTTTGTTAGAAAGATACCTTAGGGGTCAAGATCTAATAATGGGGCCCATAAGAAAATCATCAATCTTCATTTTTTTATGTATTTTCAGCAATAATTCTTTACCACGTTGTTCGATTTCCCGTTTTTTTTTTTTAGAAACGGGATACCTCAAGGATAGTTCCGTATACAATTGGTCAGGATCTGAAGATCTATGAGAAAATAAAAAAAATCTCAATTTTTAAAGGCATCTGTAGGATTTTGAAGTCGGTTTTTTTTAAATTACTTTTATATTATTACTAAAAAATTCATGTTAATTTCGTTTTTCGTTATTTTAACCCCCCTTTAAACCCCATTTTTACTATAGAGCTCGATTTTTGCTAAAAATTTTAAGATAATTTTTTATTTTTGACTTATCCTGTGAAAAAAAAAACGACATCAGAAGGACGAACAAGGTAAATCTATAATACTCTTCAGACTACTATGTGAAGACTAGAATAACGGTTCATGCAGGATTATTCTACTAAATTTATAGCCCGGCTACAAGTTGGATTTTGGCTTGAACTTTATATGTTTCTAACTTCAAAGTGGAGTCCTAGCTTTTTCGTATTCTATTAAGCTTCTAGCACCCCTTATAGTCTGCATATGAGGACTATACTGTAGTCTATTCTTATAAGCACCAAATAAGGTGCCTATTAAAATTAAAAGTATGCCAGAAGTGTACACATATCCTGATTTTTTGTTTTATTGGAATTTGATGTGAGAGTTGTGAATATTTATCGTACAATTATAAAACGGCAAAAGTTAAGTGGAACAAACTTAAACAGAAAAATCTTCAGAAAACAACAGGTAATTTAAAATTTAACAATTGTTTTCCACTGTTCAACGCATTTTTGGGGACCCATTTCATTCAAGTTATCTGATAATTTTACCCACATTTCCCCTTGCATGCCAACAAACTTTCGGGCCGCAAATTTTTTATGATCAGACATGTAGTCTACTAAGTGGTTTAATTGAATTTCTGTACATCTCTGTCGTTTCTGATCCATTTGGCGTTCTTCCCGCAGATCATATGACAAGTCATGAACTCATTTATTGCATACTTAATGTTTCTTCTAACAATTCTAAACATGTTTTTAAAATAGTAAGAAATTTTAAAAACCTTGATGAAGATTACTTTCTATGTGATTTGAATTCTATACCTTTTGACAACATTTTTAGCTTGAACAACATTGATGAGAAAATAAATCTCCTAAATAATTCAATCATTTCGCTTTTCAATAAACACGCACCCTATAAAGAGATAAGAATCACCAAAAAATATAATCCTTGGTTAACAGATAACATTAGGTATATTATGTCATTACGAGATAAAGCGAAAAAAAGATGGCAAAAAAGCAAAAAAGTGAGTCACTTAGAATACTACAAAATGTTAAAAAACTATACTACTTTAGCCTGCAAAAATGAAAAAAAAAGCATATTTTGAATACAAATTAAGAGTAGGAGGTATTAATATGTGGAAAAATTTAAAACATCTAAACATCGGAAAAGAGTCACATACTATACCCAATACCTTATGTAACCCCACCAATTTAAATAAATATTACACTTCATGTATTCCAAACTTACCTGCAGATCGAAAAGTCCTTGATAGTTATCTTAACAATATCCCTTCGCGTGACAAAGTTTCTTTCACTCCAGTCCAAAAACTACTGTACTCAATCAAATCAAATGCTCAAGGTTCTGATGGCTTAAATATAAAAATGTTGCTTCAGTGTTGTCCCTTAATAATTCCCTATGTCTCGCATATAATTAATAGTTGCATTAACAAACAATACTTCCCTAGAAACTGGAAACAAGCACTTATCAGACCTGTCCCAAAAACTAGTAATCCAACCGAGTTTAAGGATCTAAGGCCCATTAGTATTCTCCCAACTCTCTCAAAGGTACTTGAAAGAACAAATTCGTATCTACTTATCAACTCATAATATTTTACCAGAATATCAGTCAGGATTCAGACCATCTCATAACTGTGAAACTGCACTTCTTAACGTAACCGATGATATTTTAAAGGCTAGGGATGATGGTAACATTTCGGTTTTAATCTTAATAGACTTTAGTAAAGCATTCGATACCCTTAATCATTCCCTGCTGTGTGCCGTACTTCATTATATAGGATTTTCGCCTGATGCCGTAGGTCTGATAAAATGTTACTTAAGTGATCGAAGCCAACGTGTTAAAATTAATGAAATTATTTCTGATTCTATGAGGGTACGATCTGGAGTTCCTCAGGGATCTATATTAGGACCTATACTATTTACCCTCTATACAAAAAATATCGGAACCGTCTTAAAATCTTCCAAGGCTCACCTATATGCCGACGATACACAAATTTATAGCTCTTTTCATCCAAACAATATTTTACATGCCACTGACCTTATCAACCAAGATCTCAAAAACTTAGCTATGTGGGCAAAAACACATGCTCTTAGCATTAATTCGAAAAATACGAATGTTCTTGTCTTTGGCCATAATAAATTTTGTCCTGACTCAATTAAATTAAATTTCGAGGGTGATATAATAAAACCCGTAAACAGCGCCAAAAACCTTGGTATAGTCATGGACAATTAGCTCAAATTTAGCAGTCATATTAATATATGTATTCGTAATGCCTTCATTAACTTAAAAACAATCTACATTAATCGTCATTACCTGTCATTTAATGTTAAAAAAATTCTATGTGACTCGTTGGTTCTATCAAAATTCAACTATGGAGATGTCCTTTATGGTCCCTGCATTGGGTCAGATGACAAAAGGAGAATTCAGGTCATGCAGAACTCATGTATTCGTCTAATTTGTGGAATTAGAAGACGACAACCTATATCCCATAAATTAAAAACTTTGAATTGGCTAAATATGGAAAAACGAAGGTTACTTCACGCTGTTTGTCTATTCCATAGTCATTAAAAACCGCTTACCTGTTTATTTATATAATAAAGTTAAATACGGTTCTGATACGCATTTCCTAAATACTCGATATAGGCACAGAATAACAGCTCCCCCTCACCGCACAGAAAAATATAAACGCTCCTTTACATACCAAATATCAAAAATATATAACGCTTTACCTAATGAATTAAAATTAAAATCTACACCCGCATTCAAAAAATCACTTAAACATACATTTTTAAACGAGTAGTAACTCATCTTTAATCATGGAAAATTCCTCTTTAAAAAGTCACTAATCGTCTATCGCGTTATTTGGTAATAGTTGGTAATATTCTAAAAAATAAATATTCCTTCATATTATTTTCTAATGTTTCTGATATTGCTAATTGAAATTGTTTTATTTGTTTTTTTTTTAGTAATTAGAAATTAAGTTAATTTTAGTCATTGTTACTACTGCTTAAGATGAAAAACAGAGGCGATGATTTCATTGAAATTATCGTCACCTGATCTTCGGCATTTTTCCTTTCTTGCTTTGTTACGATTGCTTTTTTTTTTCATAATGTTTGTAAATAGTTATGTAACTTGAAAGGAAAATAAAGACCTTTATTATTATTATTATTATTTTTAATCATAAAAATCTAATAATAAAAAAGCAAAACACTGGTAGTAAAAACAAGGTCTAATGAAGTATTGAATGGGAATTGGGAATTATTCATTCTTCTTTTTTGAAAAGCATTTAGACTAAACATCTATGTGCTATGAGCAAAATCATATAATTATTCTTCTTGATGTTCTTAGAACACAACGTTGCCAAACCTCACAGACTAATTTTCTAGTACTGTGGCCCTATTAAATTTATAGTCGGACTATTTCTAAGACTAGTAGAATATGGCTGGACTATAATTTAGAGTCTACATGTTTAGTATGCTAAACTTATAGTCTCTTTTATAGTTCCTTAGTAGAATAACCCTGATGGTCGAGCTTTAGCTATGACTGTTCTTGCACGGCTAGATCTTCCATTATAGTAGTTTTATGTAATATTTTGGCAAATTATCAATTAAATAAATTTTATTACCTGTTCAGTAACAATTTTTCAGATAGAATTTCTTTAATAGCTGATACTTATCTTTGAATATGCTGGTTTATTGTCTGGAACAATAACCCGAATTTCCCCTATTCATTCAACTATGGTGGTCATAAAATATTAATTGGCAAATTATCTTTTAAACTTCTAAGATTTTTCCTTTGTGCCTTTGGTTACGTCAAAAAAATTTAATTCAACAGGAAACAATTTGAATATTTTGAAAAAACAAATCATATTTGTAAATGTTTCTCTGGCTTTTTTTTATAATTTAAGTCCCCAAATTTCTTAGAAAATGAACACAATTTATAATTGTAATTAATATTAACCTACTTTTATAGGTGGTTATAAAAATTACAAAAAGTGGTAGAGTTTGAACAAATGTTTAATAGAAGAAACTATTTTTTATTTAATTTAAACTTTACCAGTAAAAAGTATAAATAAAATGAAAACAATTTATTATCCTTAAAAATAATCGATAACAGCTCTGATTGTATAAAGGTGTTTTATAAAAAAAAGAACATAGCTTAATTTAAATAAAGAGGACTAAAGGTTTCTGTATAATAAAATTTCTAACAATTGTACAATAGGTAGTTTTTACTGCTTCCATTTTCCTAGAAAACACATTAACAAGACTCATAACAAATACATGCCAATCTTTACGAATAGAAAGTAAGCCCAAATTCTCTTGATGGTAAAAGAATACACGTACAAAATCGGCCACATATCCATATAGAGCACTCACAAATCAAAAAAGTCCTATTGAATTTTATTTAAGTAAAATAAATGAGTTACAATGATGTTGACGTAACGATTGGTGGAATAGATGGTGACGTTTGCCAACAATGGCTTTAAACTTAGAAGGCGAACAACAACAAGAACGCCATCATAAGACAGAAAAGACCCATAGCCTCAGACAATGCGAAACCTAAGATGGCGTATGAGAAGAGCTGTTGTTTTAGGCTAGGGTTTCTGGCGTAACCGATGATGAGGGAACCAAACACCGTTCCAATACCAGCTCCTGTAATAAAATTATCTGAATTAAAACAATTTTCTAAAAAAAAAAAAAAAAAAAAAAAAAGAATAAATGACAATGCATTAAAAAAAGACCGCTTTACAAAAAAAAAAAAAAAAAAAACGGAACAAATTGCTCCAAAACAGAAGTTTTTAAAAAATTATTTTACATTGCTCCACTATATTATATAAAAAAAAAATACCACAAAATTATGATCTAAATAAAATATAGGTGTATCAATACCCAGAAATTAGAAAATTTAAGGGTTTTTAATTATCAATTCAGTAATATAAATAAGAATTTTTGTTGCGAACTAATGTCAACAAAAATAAATTTGTAAATATTAAATCATGGTAGAAATAGTTATTACACAACGTTTTAGAAAAATTTCAATCCTTTTCTATTTTCAAGAACTGGCAGGATTCCAATTTGAACACAAATCATTTCATTTAACATTTTGCTTACAATAAAATTTACTGATATTAATCAAGTACGATTTTTTATTTAATCTCTGATTGGAGTTCAGCAATATTTCTGCAGTACTTGTGTTCACCTGCATCAATGATTAAATTTTGCATTTAGAAATAGGCAGACATAGATGAAAAGATAAATCAATTTAAATACCCCAACTTTTCCAGAAAGTGATAATCCAGTTTTATATAATTAATAACCCATTTTCTGGTTTATGAAATTATATTAAATATAGTAGAACAAAAGTTTTTATTTAATAAAATAAATGAAAATAAACTCTCCATATACATTTTATCTTAATATCAAATGAACTCAATGTTAAAATTGAAGTAAAAATTAGGTATAATCAAAGCTTGAGAAATCTATATTTTCATATATTTTATTAATATTGAAAAAAAGCACATTAACATTATGGAAACATTTTTGTGATTTTATCAGTTAAAAAGCAACAAAAATAGGTTATAACAAAAAATAATATAAATACCTACCATACACAAGCGTCACAAAACATGCAATATTTTTTACACAAAAAGTTAGTTATCTTCGGCAACTCATGATTCCCCAAAATATAGAAAAAAAAAAAAAAAACATTTATTTCGACAAACTAACAAAAACAATTATGTCTATTTTTCTATTTTAAAATGTACAATGAAACCTATAGCATCAAAAATTTATTTCTTATATCTAAAACTTCTAAAGGGCGAACAACATTAAGAAAGCTATCATGAGACAAAATAATCCCATAGCTTCAGACAGGGCAAATCCAAGAATAGCATAGGAGAAAAGCTGTTGTTTCAGGGAGGGGTTTCTAGCATATCCAATTATTAAGCAACCAAAAACTGCACCAATACCAACACCTGAAATTATCATGAAAATTTAGCAATTATCGATATTTTTTAATTATGCCCATAAGATCTCTGAAATATTTTTTTCTTTCACTATCATTTTGCAATTTTTTATTGTAGGGTGTAAGTAAGCAGTCCACTAGCACTTTATTTATAAAAAGAAGATTAGGTAATTTTACTTCTGCCAGCACTATAAAACTATTTTTACATTTACAAATTCTCAAAAATAATGTAAGATGGGGTATCCCAATTTTCCAAGTTTTTATAGACAAAAATCAATCAAATGTCCAAAAGGCTTTAATAAATCTAGAACCTCACATTGCATACAAAATTCTATATCTACAAACTCTTTCTACAGTCTTCAACGATAATGTATCCCAAATGACCAAATTAATGATGGCAAAGTAAAATTAATAATTACAGCAGTAACCTCAACTGACTTATTTAACAGAACATATGATATGGGTATTGCTGAAGACAGCACTTATGGTAAAGTACTGATGATATTACTATTAGTAGTTTTTATCCAACTGTGGATAAAAGTTGCTGAATCAAGAATCAAAAGTTCATTAATGTGACCTATTCATTCTTCTTCAAAAATTTTAGTGGTGAAACTTAAATTTGATCAAATTTTCAGATTTTAAGTTATCTCTTAGATAACTGGGTTGCGATTATGAAATATTGATGTCTATTAATATCAAAGGTGGCAATCTCCACTCATTAGTTTTTTTAGGAAAGCAGTTTTTTGTTTTAAATAAATTCAATGTATTGCCAAAACAGTTTTTATTAAATATAGTCAGATATTTAAAGAATATATTAATTATTTGGGAACACCACTGCAGTAAAACTAGAGGGGAAGTAGGCTTGGGAGTCAACCTTGTGTACCTAGAGAACTTAAGTTACCATGGATACTTGGTAAGGTAAACAACTCACATTTGCTGTGTAAGACGGACATTTCCCAGTCGTCTTATGAGCAAGAACTCTTGGGATTTCCTTGACCACCTTGTTCTCCAGGCTTGTCTGCATTAGTTTTTTTATTTGAAAACAAATGTTTCAAAGTAACCCCTAAGGACTATCCAGCGACAGCTTTCCAACGAGAGTGGAAAAATGTGTATGACAAAACAGAGGCCCTCTTTAAGACATTATTTTAAAAAAATGAATGATTGTGCACTTACACAAAATTTCCATCCATGTCCATTATGTTTTCATTTTTCAAAAGATAAGTTTCTGAATTTTTTCAGATTTTTCGAAATCGTCCTGTTTCAATAGATCGCCCTTTAAGTTAAAAAGTTGGATATTGTTGCCTTTTGATCAAATAAGTGGGAGAAATATAAGAATTGCATTTTTAGACATTTCATGCATGTCTTATTGGCAAATTCAAAGATCAGTTTTTTTTTTGAAACAACAGTCATGATGGAAATTTCTGTTTTTGATACAAAAGAAATATTTCAAATGAAAAAAAAAAGGGGATTTTGGTCTCCAATATAGTTAAATCGGGTGATACTAAGTTTCAAGTAGAATCCGTTAGTAGGTCTAACTCGATTTTTATGAAATGTTAATTGTCAATTTTGATACTAATAGGCTCAATTGCTTTAGGACGTAGTTTTGCATTCAAATATATTAACATTGGCCTCTAAAAAACAACTTGACAAAGTTTTTCAGGTACCTATGTATAAAACAGATCTTACATTATTCTGATAAATTTTATAATGGTTATTTATTAAAAAATACTGTTTAGAAAACAACACACTTGTGAAAGTCAATAGAAACAGTAATTTCTGTATGAAAAAAATATCAAAAATGAATGAAAAATAGGTGATTTTAGAATTTAAAAACTATATTCAATTAGACAAATTAGGTTTATCATAGTTAAAAGAAATAAACATTTAGTATTAAATAATTTAATTGCAGTGAAAATGTAATGGTCGATATTTGTAAGCTGGCCACAGACTATTTTATAGTTGAGAAAAATTCATCATTATAATTGCTAGGAAAGACTTTTGTTACCTGTGTCAACAAATGAATGCTAAAATGGCTTTTTCATACAAATAGTTAATATAAAGATTAAAATCATATCTTAGAGATCATTTTATCTAATCAGGATATATCATATTTCAAACAACACTAATTATTACATAAGATAATACAGTATATTTAATACTTTACACTCCTTTTATCTAAAGCAAAATGACCTCTAAGAAATTGATCACAAGGTTAAGGAACTACATTAATCTTTGTAGTCTTCTTACATAATTAATGAAATGTTAATTAATGCATGCATTACATTTAAAATAAGCTGTTATTAGAACTAAAGATTCCCATGTACCTGATCCTGCTACTCCTACTGTGGCAGCACCAGCACCAATGAATTTAGCAGCTGAGTCAATATCTCTGCTTACTGGGGTAGTTTGGAAACTGCGGACAGCAGGAAGGAGAGCTGACTGTTTATGTTGTTGGACATTCTGTACCTGTATTTGACTTTGACTTACTACACTGCTCAGAGGCCTTAAATATTGTTTTGTGTTGGAGATGAGCTACAAAAAAAAGTATCATTAGAACAGTTCCTATTGTATAATAGATATTACATGTTTTAGCCTATATGGAATATTTTAACACCTAAAAGACGTTCAACATGCAAGAATAAAAATCCAACATTTTATAAGCTTAGATCTTAAAAAAATAAAGAACCTGATAAATCATTACATAACCCATTTAACAAATTAGTATGAGAAAAATTGTACTGAACCAATCAACCAAGAATTAACAGTGATGTAACCAAAAGGCATCAATTTCATAAAAATTGATTAAAAGATTGTTACATACTTTAAACAAATCCTTAATTTTAATGAAATACCTATTTACATGGTTAATTAACTATGTTAGTTTTAAACATCATGATAAGGACTTCAGTAGATGTCCTTTTGGTCATGTTATTTATACAAATTACTTTAATCTTAATAAGTTTCAAATTATTAACTTCTCTACTAATAAAAGTATGTATAAAGTAACTTTAACTTAAAAATGGACTATGAATTCAAGTCTGTGTTCAGAGGTTACATAACAATTTTGAATTCTAATTAAATTGTAGAAAAACTAAAGTGGAATACTTACTGCGCTTCTGGTAGCAGGGGCAATCAGTCTTGCACAGGCAAACATCTTTATTTATTATTTTAATTCGTCCGCTACCTTCAAGCCTAAAAAATTAAAACTTAGTAAAATGGCAGCCAAGTACAATCTGTCAAAGTCATAAGAGATACGTAAAGTTCAACCTACCGACTCGTTACGTAATGAGAGTTCTTTGAATTATGCCTTAAAAATTATATTGACTACACTTTAGATTTAAAGCTAATAACATCGAAATAGTTTTTAATAGTTTAAAATCTAGAAAAATATAGGCTAAATAGGAAACTAACAATGGCCGGTCAAAGGCAACTAGATTTACGTAAGAAGGGTAATCAATAATCTTTGGAAATACAGAATTTTTATAAAAAATTTTAACTGAAATAGTTCTATACAACACTGAATGATGATTTTATGTACTTTTTAAAAAGCGATGGCATTTAAACTTGAAAAAAAAAATGGAATTAGGAAATTTAAACTTACCAAAGAACAGTGTAGTGAACTACGCGAACGTTTCAGAACTGCAAACGTCTAATGGAAGGGAAACGATTGGCTATAAAACAGATTGGAGTTTGCGCATTTCATGATGAGCATGCGCTGTCTAACTTCTTTATATAATGTCAGCGATGTTGCCAGACTGAAATCTAATTTTTGTTTAAAAATAACCTGGAATCTATTTTACTGAAAAGTATTTTTATTGTTTAAAAACTCCTTTATTCAATATTGTATTAATTTTTGTCTGTAGATTTTAACTGAATAATATTTTATTAATTTTAATTTAGTTACTTTATAGTCTGAATTCCGAAGCATTGGCTAACTTGTTTTTTTGACAGGAATGGCATAATAATTGCAGTTTGGCCAATATTAAAACACTAAAGTATAACCAGGAAAACTTGTTACTAATCTACTAATCTGAACCCACTACTGAACCATTACATAAAATAAAGACATTTTTTTATTATACAAAGAACAATTTTCTCCTTCACTTCAATTAAAAACTAAACGTTATTGCAAGTGAACGGGTAGAATGTTAAAGAATAAAAAGGAAAAGGACCATGTATAATTTAAATTTAAGCTAGAGTAATAGATTAGGCAACATAACATTTAAAAAAATTAAATTCCACTAAAAACCATTATCCCTTCTACTCTAATCGTCTGTGCCTAAAATTACTGTACAGGGTGGTGTTTACCTTCTTAATTCGATTATGACCAGAGCAAAAATTAAAAATCTTAAAATTTTGTAGAAATTACTTTAATTAACCTTTTAATTCAACAAATATAAACGTATTTATATTAACATTTTAAAACTATTAATTATCATAATGCACAATTTTATCTTTGTACATTGTAGAATATTGGTATAATCATCGGCGTAATATCATCAGTTTTCAGGGGAGGCTGTGGTCCAAGTGTACATTTGGATTAAAATATATATTTTTTTTAATTGCGTTGCAATGAATGGTAAAAATTACGCTATAATAGTGAATAGTGGTTTTAATATTTCTATATAACTAATACATTTATTATTAACTTATAAACATAACGATTAATATTAAAAGTATTGATTATCTACAAGTTATTTACGCTGTTGACTGAAAAGAATCTACAACACGTTCTCAACGTTCTCAACCCATTAAAAATCCTCCTCATATGACAGAAAACGACCTCTCGCACGTCGCACTTGAAATAGGTAGAATAATCGCAACTTCAAAAAGTTGATATACGTTTGGGTATGTTTTTTCTGATTCTGTTATGTGTTTTTTGATAGAATCATAACCAACAGTTTCTTTAAATTGAAGAATACAATTTTTTTAAACGGAAATTTCTGCCCTTAAGACAGAATAAGTGTTAATATTCAAAATTTTAACAGTATTGCTCAATGAATTCAGCTGAACCCTCAAAATCTAACTGAAAAAAATTATCCACCGAATTGGCAATAAGCACGGGCTTACATACTTTCTGATAAGAACCTTTTGTTTAGAAACCCTTTTACAGTATCAATAATTCGGTAGAAAATGTTCCAATACTCTCATATTAGCTCTAGAGCTTGTGGCGTCTATCAAACCTAGTCTTACAGTTGTTTCTGTGACAAAATCAGCGAGCTTACTACTGACTTGGTTTTTTCGTTTTGATGAGGGAATTTCCAATCATACTTGATATTTTTCAGCAAAGTCCGAAATTTTTAGATGAAGGTCAAGTATAGCATTTTTCGTTTCTATTTCATCTAGTGAATTAATGACGCTTTTAATAACGTTAACTGATTTCCCCAGAGTCGCACCTTTCTCCTGAAGGCTTTTCGATAACATATTTAAGATATTTAGTATCCCGTCTAATACAAAAAGATGAATTATGAATGAAGGATGTTTAATGCTGGACAATATGCCGATTTCTGTGATTGAGTGTTTATCATTTTTATTAGAAACTTCGTTTTTCATTCCCTCGAAACATGTTTTAACAGCGTGGCAAGTCGTATATCGACACACTCAACGATGAGTATCGGACATATTTTTCAACCCTCTGGGGACAATATTGAGGGCTTTTAATATTTGTTTGTATTTGGATCTGAGAAATGTTCGTAAATTGCTTCCAAAGTACAAAAAATGTCGATATTGATGGAAAATTTTTACATAAGTCTACCACAACCAAGTTAAGTCTATGTGCTATAAGCAGTGCGTGTAAATTATAACTGGATATTTATCTAGCATTTTTGCTTGGAGAGTTAGAGACCACTAATATTACCCGACATCATCGCAAATCCGTCATAGGATTGACCTACCATCTGTAAGTCGCTAAGATTAAGCTCTTCCAATTTACTGGAAATTAAATTGAATAAATAATAAATATAAGTAAATTCACCTACTACATTTTTTTGATACGCCAATGGGTACAATATAAAATGCAATTAAATAAAATTCCAATTTTTTTTTGTAGAAATTGTTTTTTATACTTTGGAAAAAATTAAAGATTACAAATGGTGAAAAAATTTAAATATTTAAATAAAATAATGTACCTATTAAGTATCTGGCTGTGTTATAAGCATGATAATGTTCTGTTGATTTAATAATTCAAATCTAGGGGTAATGGATTTTTTAATAGATAATTATCTATTATGTATATATCTAATATCTATTTTTAGGATGAGAATTTCGATTACACCTATTGGGATTACCCTATACATTTCTAATAACCTTGGGCAGGGATCGACTGACAACAGCGCTAAAGAGAGAAAGAGATGGATAGCAATGGACAGAAATGGCGGCGCTCTGTCCAGGTGTTCAGTATGGTTTATCTTCACAACAAAATTATGGTGAAAATAGAGACTTGATTTTTGTGAAATTAACGGATTCTGCATTACGTGCAATAGAAGAGTATCTAAAAAATCAGGTAAGTTTTCAAAACGATATTTCCTTGTTTGAATAAGTAATGCAATCTGTTGACTTCTACTTTTGACCAGTCGCCATATTCAGATGACTTATTAACCTATTATTTTGTTTCCAAAATAATGATTGTGCTGCATAATTATTTTACAAGTGAGGCTAAGGTATTGGAAACTTCCCCCAGCAATTTTTAATAAAAATCATTTTTTCTCTGACCATTTAAAGCCCCAGCCACGTCAACATATTGAAAAAAATATTTTTGAAAAAGTGCACAATTAAATATTCCATTTTTCAAAATTTTCGTTGTGTTATTTTCTAAATAGATACCTATTTATAATTTGTTAATTAACCTTAATATCTAAATTATTCTCCTATTTGGGTGATAAATTATAAATCACTTTTTAATCAAGTAAACACAATTAAGTAGATTGTTGCGTATTTTGTGTGTTTAAATTAGGTATATTATATATGTATTAACAAATTCATTTAAAAAATATATGTATGAACTCTTATGACTGTTTTCTAATTAGAAAACCAGGTTACGATTTCTAGTTGGTAAAATAAAACGTTTTTGGGGTTATTCCAAATGCGGATTTTATCTTGAATCAACAGCTAGTTCAAATTAAATTGGTTTTTATAGGAATTTCCTGATTTATCAAATCGTATCTATTCTCATATAGGGTTGCTAGACGTAGCCAAAGCACTGCTAAAATTAGATGGCATAAAGTGATTCGAGAATTTAATGTGGGTGCTAAAGAATTTACCTATTGAACACCTAGAAGTAGGTTGCTAATATTTATTTAGAAAAATCAATAACATTGAAAAAATTCGTGTTGGAATTTTTCCATGCAGTGACCCTGTGAATTTATCAAAAATTGCTAGTTCGCGAACGTCGAAATGATGCATTGGTACGTGCGTAAATTTAAAATAGTCAAAAATATTTGTAAATACATGTAACTACCTACTTTTGACGTTAAATCGTAAAAAGGATGTGACCCGCTTATACGAAAGGGGATCCTGTTCGACTTGACAACACCGCAGAATCAGCTGGGTGTCAAACTGGAATATGTTTGGGATTCAGTGGCGCGTTCAGGGAGGGTACGGCTAAATTCGATCCCCTCCGCATGGAGTAATGATTGTTTGTCTTACATGAGAACTGGAAATACGAGATTTTATTGGTATTAAAAGCACTTTTACTTTCTAACTCAAATGACTTCTTTTACTGCTGTCACAGTTTGAGGCAATAATTGTAGCTTATTGTAAATTCTAACAAATTACTTAGACTAGGCGACATTCTCACTAATTACAGTATAAACGGTTTCTTATAAATATTGTAGTTGTATTGTTTATAAACTAAAAATATTGAATGAATAAAATCTTGTTTTTATAACATTTTCTTGTAACTCGGGTATTTCAACAAGCATACTAGGTAGATATTTCATTAGGTAGGTACTTGAATAATTAAAAAATTAAATTTATTTTGTATAAATTTTAAATGTAACTGCAGAACATAGAAAATTAAAACTTAATCAGTGCGATCCTTGTGTATGGAATAAATCCATTTTTATATTATGTACTTTTTTGAAAAAACCTGAAACGGGTCGATTTCTTAATTTGACAATTTATATTATAAAAATAATACCCACTATTGAATAATGTCTCCCATCACAAAACTTTACGTAGAATGAAACAAAGAATGTTACACAATACAGGCTGTCCTAATGAAAAGTAGCCCGTTTCCAGAGCTTATAACTTTTAAGCGCCTAATCGTAGAAACGTGCGGTTTTCGCTGATATGTGTTATTTTGCTATAAGTTTTGATTTAGTGACACAGAAATTATGTATCACTACAGGGTGTTTTTTAAAAATCTCCTCTTTTAAATTCACCATAACTAAATTTTATCAAATACGTGCGGTTTTCGCTGGTATGTGTTATTTTGCTATAAGTTTTGGTTTACTGACACAGAAATTATGTATTACTACAGGGTGTTTTTTAAAAATCTCTTAAATTCACCATAACCAAATTTTATCAAATTTATTTTGTAAAATATCATGTACAAATTATACATTTTTGAAAAATAGAAAAGTGTATCTTTTAGATGACCTAAACATATACAGGGTGTTCCATTTGATAAAATTTGGTTATGGTGAATTTAAAAGAGATTTTTAAAAAACATCCTGTTTAGGTAATACATAATTTCTGTGTCACTGAAGCAAAACTTATAGCAAAATAACACATATCAGCAAAAACCGCACGTTTCTACTATTAGGTGTTTAAAAGTTATAAGCTCTGGAAATGGGCTACTTTTCAGTGGGACACCCTGTATTTAGAGTATATTTTTCAATTTATTTTACAATTAATTCTTTGCTTCATTCTACGTAAAGTTTTGTGATGGAGACATGAAAATTTTACATTTTCAAAAATAATTTTTGTTAGTTATGATTGCACCAAATTTAAAAAACTTCATATTGCTGAGGAGAGAATTAAAATCCCTTTGGAAGAAGGTGCCACACGACCCCGTTTCTTATTTAAAATTTACGAGGGGTGTTCATATTTCAGAGGGTGTGCAAGAGGGGGTAATATTTGCATACTATAAATTGTCAAATTAATAGAAATCGACCTGTTTCAAGAGTTTCCCAAAAGTACATAACGCTAAAAATGCTTTTATTTTATACATATGGACCGCACATTTATAATAAAAAGTAAAAAAGACATGGGAAATATTTTAAAAAGATGGAAAGGGCATTAGAGTAAAATTTGAGATTTAATGAAGATAAAACAAAATAGTAAATTAACTAAACAAAACACATTTTATTATATCTGTAATGTGTACGAGGGTGGATCAAATATAAACCGGATATTTGTAAAGAAACTTGTAGGCGAGTCAATGAGTCTACGTGGTTTAGACTCGGGTTTAGATTCCAAGAGTCTGACCACGCCTACAAACTCAAATTGGTTTCTGCATATTATGACGAAGTGTGCTCTTCACAAAAAAATCGAGCTCTAGGTTCTAATACCAATTTGAAGGACGTAAAACTCTCTTTAGTGTTAAAGGACGCGAATTTCTAATCTGAGAGGTTATCATGCAACACGGCAAAAAAATTAAGTTATAATCTGACTACTGGAACATTCTCCCTATATTCTGTTTCTGTACTTATCTCCCTACGAGTATAGTTTGTTTGGACTTCTGGAATGACAGGTATGTGATGATGTGCCCAATTTGGCTGATGTCACGATAGTGTGACCAAAAAAATATTTCTAGGTCATGTTTGTGTAGAAAAATTAATTTCTATTTTTTTATGATTCAATAAAAAATAATAATAATTCCAGTTTATATGGTGTGGAGTAGCCAAATGAAATAAATGGGAGCTCCTTCGGAAAACCACTGGGACACGTCGATTGGTTTTTTTTAGTTAACAGAAGCTTTTTATGCAGGGTGTGTTATGTAATAGTGGCCAATACCAACTTTCTAATTTGAAATACAACACCTTGTATATTTTTCAATTTTTCGATTCTTCAGAAAATTTTAGACATATTTAAAGTACTATGTCCTATACCTAACTGTTTCGGAAATATTAAAACCTAGCAGACTTAAGAAGACGAATAACGCTTGCGATTAGATCGGTCACTCCTGAGATTGAGTAACATTAGAAGACCTTTTTATTTCAGATTAGGATGTTGCCAAGAGGTTCGCGGCGAGCATTTTGAACATCTCCTACATTGAGATTTTTTTACTGCATTATCAAGAAATAAACAGTATTGCTTATTAGTTTTTGAGTGTGTTGTAACGAATTTCTGTAATCAAATTATTTTATTTTATTAATGTTAATTTTTGCAATTAATTGGAAAATATTTAATATTTCCGAAACAGTTAGGTATAGGACATAGTACATAAAATATATCTTGAAGTTTCTGAAGAATCCAAAAAATGAAAAATATACAGGCTGTTGCATTTTAAATAAGAACGTTGGTATTGGTCACTGTTACATGACACACCCTGCATAAAAAGTTTTTGTTAAAAAAAATGCGCCACTAAAAATACCAATCGACGTGTCCGAGCGTTTTTCTGAACACGCTCCCATTTATTTGTTACCGAATTTATTCCATTTGGCTGTTCCACCCTGGTATATTGAAAATTTTGGCGTTCCAAGTAAAATGTAAGCCTTTGTACCTGAATGATTAGTAATAATGTTTTAAAATATCTGCAATAACCACTAAAATAGTAGTTTGTGCAACAAGAGTGGATATATGGTCATATCGCACGAAGACGAAGTCTTAGCACGACGACGAAGCAATATAAACACTATAAATAAGAATATGATTTTCTATTTGTCATTAAAAGAATGAAGTTAATCATATGCAACTAACAATATAAGAAAGAAGTAATATTGGTTGCCTAGATATCAGTATTATTTTACCAAAACATAATTTTATAAATAATCTAGTCAAAATTAAAAAAATATTGTAACACCTTTTGAAATGCCGTTTTATCTAAATCGTTCATGTTGCGGGACCTCGCACTGGTCGTCCCGCAAATATTCACTCGTTACACAATTTCGTAACTGGTTTCATAAATAGGTGTTTTGTGGTTCGTAATGATTCACTTTATAAAGTAGATAATTTTGACACTTGCTGTGAGTACAAAAAATGTCACTTTATATGTCAAAATTAAAAAAAAAAAAGTTTAAAGGTATGTAACCTAATTATTTTTAATCTTGAAGTTATTAAATAAAATGATACTGAATACTTCGTTTCGTTTATGAAAATATCATCAGCTTTGTAGCATCTTATAACACCGTTATTTTTTTCTTGCGTAAAACAAGGTGATTCGAATAAGTAATCGAAAGCGTCACTTAACATGGTTACCGAACTCTCTTTGAGCTATAATTTAATATCTGCTGAAAATAGCTGAAAATAGCAATTATTCTCTTGTTCTAAATCAGTCAATCAAATAAATCAATCAACTCTGTATTCAACAAAATGGATTACATTTTGAGCAAATTTGGT